TCTCTCTCTCTCCCTACCGTTAAGTAACTTGTGCATTGTTTTACTTACTTGTTTTTGACATATCCGACCGAACTACAAACTTTCCAGTGATGTCTGTGAGAAAGGTATATTCACTTGACAAGCTCGCGCATCTGCGCCGCTGCGCGCTCAATCCACTCAGCGTGCTTTGTTTATCAGCGCGCGCACACCAGCTATACAGGCGTTAATACTGAATGTTTAATATTATATTAATTGCATACATATACTTCGTAGTAGACATCCTTAACTCCTTCCTGCTGTCTGTTGTTCTGTTGTCGGTGTTTCTTTGTTTGAATATGGCGCTTATCACATGCTGTTTGGTATCGGGGCATTTTAACGAGTACGAGTACAGAAGCTCAGTATCGGGCCCGATACCGATACCAGTATCGGTGCATCCATAGTTTCTACGATGCATCGCGATGCAGACGAGGACGATTTGGTATCGGTTCAGTAATAGACCATAACCGATTATAACGTACTGACGCTTTTCTGATGTCATTTGTCGCGGTAGCATACATTAGGCGCGTTCGGCTTGAAGCGCCGCTGCGCAGAATGATCAGTGTATGACATCAAGTACCGTGAGAGCGATAAGAGCGCAGACGGATCCTTATGCTTTCGAATCGCTCTCACGGTTGATGTCATACTCTGATCATTCTGCGCAGCGCCGCTTCAAATCGAACGCGCCTAATGGCGGAGGGAGGCAAGACGCGAGTGCGAGTAATTAAAAATGCTCCAACTACTTTAAAAGCCGATATCTGGGCATATTTCGGCTTTTGTGAACAACCTGGTAAGCAGCAGTAAGCACGACCTGGAGAAGTATTTATTGTATTTATACTTGTATTTATTGACAAAATTGTATACATGTGAAGTGAAATAGAAAATTGAGGATGCAGTGCATCGTCAATGCATTGTGATATCGAATTGAACTGAATCGATGACATGATAATCGTAATCGAACCGAAACGAACCGTGAGACCAGTGTAGGTTCACACCCGCACAGTGTAGTTGCTAACTTGCTAGGTGATTTTGTTTTGGACCCTTCAGAAAACTTTAACTAGATTTTTCTCAAAATTGACTTTGCTCACTCTATCGACTTCAAACAGGTGTGGCTCAGTCATTTTTTCTGTCTGATTCCAACAAGTCATGCATCATTTTGATGTTTTTTTTTATAGAGAATGCGAAAATAACGCCTTTGTGAAAATTTGCTGATTGTGACTCATTTTGCCAGCACAGGTCACATTATCAAACCAGTAGATTTTAGTCTTAAACGAAGTTCATTGGGCCTCATTCATGAAACACAAGCAGAACAAAATTGTGTAAATCATTCGGAAAGTCGTTCCGACGTAAATTTTCAGATTCATGAAAATGTTCGTATTTTGAAAATGTTAGTTGGTACGAAGGAAATTTACACCTGCTCCCTACCATGTGTAAATGGTGCATAAAACATTCAAACGTTCTGTATTCTTTTAGACAAACTGATGACACTGCATTTTTTTATGCACTATGTATTATAATGATATTTAACGAGTTCATTTGCCCTGTCTTTTTTTCGTTTTTTTACTCTTTAACTTTGGGTAAAACGCAGAGCTCATCACGGTCCCTTTTTACACAGCCGTCCAATCACAGTGGAGGAGGGGTGGGACAAACACTACATTGACCAACCATCATACTTGTACAACACAACAATGGAGAAGTTAATATTGCTGGTTACTGCATTTTTATATTCAGTAATATTCTTCAAAATAAGATACTCGTTACATGTTGCTGCCGTGAATATTCCAAATCATAGCAAACAACGTGTCACTCCAGAAAAGTGCAGTGCCTCCAAAGCTCTCAAGCACCAGCAGCTGGTTGTTTTCAGAAGAGCACCAGGCATTATGTTAGCTGACTGAAGACGCTCTGGTGGACACACGTTAATTTATTCATTTAGTTTTAGGCATATAGCCTATTAGTCTCATTTGTGCAATATAACTTGCCAAACCTGAGAATTGAGTCCAAAGGATTCCACACCATTCCTAGATGCGTCATTTGCGTAGCTGTAATTCATAGGCGGGGAATATGATAATTGTGAATAAGCGTGCATGCGCACCCTATTTACGAATGATTGGAACTCATTAACATACACGCATTTAACTATCAAATCTGACCTTTACGAAGTATTTGTGAATCCAGAGGAGAGTTTTCGGGAAGGTCCGTTTAACGTGTAAATTACTCAGAATTTACTCGTATATTTACGAATGTTTCATGAATGAGGCCTATTGTCTCCACTTCTCAAAAAACCCTATGATTTCTCTCTGTCTCAGGTGTACTCAATGCTCCAGGGTGGACCACGAATGCTTGGATCAGGAGGGCACCCACAGACCCTGGGTCCCCCAGGCCCCCAGTACCCTGGTCAGAATGAAGGACCACCAGCCCCTCAGCAGGGGATGTATGGTAAGGTTTATCTTTTATTTATTTATTTTTTCGTAGATTGTAAAATAATTATATACACAATGAACTAAATCCAGTGTTATCAACTGTTTGTTTTTTTTCCGTTCTTCTTTCTTCTTCAGCTCCGCAGTCATTCTCTCATCACTCTGGTTCCATCCATCATCCTCAGCCCTCCAGCACCCCCACAGGCAGCCAGCCGCCCCCTCAACATCCCGCCCCCAGTCCAGGACAGGTACATCTGCCTGCCAGTCAACCAGTCCACCCAAAACTGGCTACACGTCTATTCCATAAACTCCCACTCAAAGAACTTTCTTTAAATGCTTGAACAAGAGATCCCCTAAAATTTCACATGCTTTCAATTATACTAAATATTTACTGTATTGACTTCATTTTATAGTCGGGTCAGTCTGGTCCTCAGCCTCAGTCTTTGTATCACTCTGGGCCGCTGTCAGCCCCCGCACCCCCTAACCTGCCCCCGGGACACAGCTCCCCACAGGCCTCCTACTCCCTTCAGGGCTACAGCCTGCCGGGACACCAGCCCCTGCCTCACCCCTACTCCTCTCTAGGACAGCTGACACAGGTGATGACCATAAACCACACACAAGTTCAAATGAAGAAAGAAAAAAAAGCAGCAGTTCAGTGCACTTCAGAAATGTGTCTGGGATAAACAGAAATAAACGGTGTAATTTTAAAATGAATACAATATTTTTACATGTACATTACTGAACCCAATAAAGTCAGGCTTAACAGGCGGGTTAAACATCTGAATCATTAGCATGTGTTCTGTCAACCATTTTAGTGAACAATTCTCTTCGGTTTAGGAAGTTTTATTTATTTTTATTCTTTTTCATTTTTTTTATTTACACACCTATTTTTGTATTAATTTTCTACATTTTAATTTTTGAATTCAGTTCTTTTTTCTTTTTTTAACACATCTTTGTGTATTTATATAAATTTTTTTTTTTTTTGCTGACTAACTTTTTTGCTCATTCTTTCAGACCCATGTTCCAGGTGCTCTCTCGGGTCCTCACCACTCAGGTCACGGCCCACCGCCTGTGATGTTGCTTCATGCCCCACCACCTCCCCCTCAGCAGGGTTCTGGTCCCCAGCACGGACCTCCTCCACCCCAGCAGGGACCCCACCAGCACTTCACCTACATTGGACCACCTCAGGGTGAGTTTCTTTGCAAACAAACCAAAAAACCAAACAAGTTTGTTCGCTTATGTTGCAGTCAAGTAATTTGTCATGAAAGCTACAAGCTTACAGAATCCCATCCAGTTGAACATTAGATCTAACTGATATTTACTGATATTTAACTGATATTTAATATACAGCTATTAGGCTTGCCGCGATAGACGGTGATACCGGTGTTAAGCCGCAACACCGGTTACGTCACTTGCCCACCGCGTCACCGACCCCCACCGTCGTTTAGATTTTTTATAGTAATAAAAATCATTTAGTTCAGTAAAAGAACAGACACTACAATTAAAAACTGAACGCGGATGCTCAATGCAGTTGAACGACAGTTGCATCACAGATCAGATTTCATTTCTCCAGTGAGAAGAGTGAGTCGAGCTGACTGACAAGAAGAGTGAGGGAAAGCGAGGAAAAGAGGGAAAATTCAAACGAACTAAAAACGAACAATTGCTTTACTCCGAATTGCCGCTATTTTAAAGTGAAAGTAAAATGGGCACACCGCTTTTACAAGCTATTTAAAAGCGAAGGAAAGTGAGGAAAAGAGGGAACGCCCCGCCCCCGCGGTGATACCGGTATTACCGGTGTTGTCACACGCCGATTAACCGGTGGGAAAATTTCCTCACCGTCACAACCCTAACAGCTATGTGCAAATGCATTTACCAAGATTTGATTTGTATTACATTTATTATTACATTATGAATTGGTATTATTGCAAACTATTAATTTGTGTGTTTCTCTGCTCCCATCAGTGTCAGTGCAGGCTCATCCATCCCAGCAGATTCCATTCCACCCTTCTGGAAACTGACAGAGCGGCTGAGACTGAAACTGTGCGGATCACCACAGTGTGACAGAGAGATCTTCTGTGTGATCGCATATTCATTTGTACATAATATCCACCTGAACAGATTTTGTTTTAGATAACCTCTGGCAAGACTGAATGTGCTTGTTTTATTATTATTATTATTTTTTTTTTTCCTTTTTGTTATTTTTAATTTGAGTGGACGGGGACCCACAGTGTCTAAAGCAGAAAGAGGGAACGAGTGAGCGTGTAAGACAAAACAAAAATGGAAAGAATGAGGGACATTTTTATAAAAAATACAATGAACCTCTCCGTTTGTTCTCTACCCCCTTATTAAATAAGCAAATAATAAATGGTTAAAAAAAGAATAAAAAAAAGAAGTGCATAAAAATAAAATTTTAAACTCTCCTTATGTGTTTTGTCTTGAATGTTTTTCTCTAATACACGCTGTGTTGATATTTACTGCTGGCATTTACTAAATTTATCGACCATAATTACAATATCTATTCATTGTAGCACCATACACCATTTGAATCAATAAAACTTTTATTTCCCCATTTACAAACCAATAGCTAACAGGTTTATGAATTATGACAAAAAGCTATATATTACATGGCGGATTCAAAGAAATTTGTGCTCATATATTTGGAAATAAAAGCCAGGATGCAGTACATTGTAAACAGCAATTGTTAATTTAAAAAACTAATAAAAACATTCTCAGGTATCGTCAGCAAATCTGTCAGAAGGATTGAGGGAGGAAGTTTTCTGTGGTGACACTGGTTCAATGCTCTTGGTAATGCACTTCAAAATTCAAAGCATAGTTAAATCTGGAAACTCCTCTGGCAGTCAGGATGATGGTTAGGCCTTGTTATCTGTCATTATTTGGTAAAAGGCAAATTCTAGAGAAAAGCAAAATGGATTAATTTTTTTTCCCTCTTACATTTAATGGACAATCCAAATTGTATCAAGATATTCACATACACTAAAATTAGAGAACTACATAGTACCTTGATTACTGTAAGTTAGGGCCTGTGTTGACATAATCAGAGCTGTCCCGTTCATCACTGCTTTGACTTCCACGGGACAGACCTGTTGAGGAGGCGCAACATAAAGAATAAACACTATTCTCTTTGTCTGAATCACTTCTACAACTTTCTTTAGAGAAAGAGGCCCATTTTACCGGAATTCACCCTATTTTTTTTTTTATGAAAATAAAATATGTTGATCATATAAAAAAAGTGATACTTTTACAATTATTGTTTGGTGAATTAGAAATCATAGTCCATTTTATGATTTTACTTGTTTTTGTAATACATTTTGCTATTCTTGTGTTTGTAAAACAGCCCGTTATTTATTTTTGCATTTATCAAAGAGCAGCTTGCCTTTGGAAATTATATACATTTATATATATTAAGTGCATATATGTATGTTTGTTGGTGAGGAGTGAAAGGCAAAGCAAGAGAAAAAGTGAAAAAATATTTTTCTGTGCAGAAAATAATTTGTCCCTTTTTCCCTTGCTTTGCCTTTCACTCCTCACCAACAAACATACATATAAAATAAATATATGCTATTAATCAAAAAACACTTACTATGGCTTTTTTTTCTGTGGCCTGGAGAATTACTGAAATTTTCATAATCGGGAATGTCTGTAAAATCACCACAGCATACACAAGATAAGGTTAGGATCTGCATTGCAGCGGGGCTTTGTAGTCATTATTTATTTTCAGCATGTAGTACCTGAGTCTGATTCATCCACATACTCACATATATCTTCAGATACATTCTCATCTTTTTTTACATTTATGTAACATTCTCCTACAAAGTTAGCATCAACATTGTCAGAGGATGTTATGATTTATTTTCCAATGTATTTATAATGCAACAAATGCGAATAGATTGCTATTCTTGTTTAATCTCAGCTCTTCTACCTGAGCTCTGGGATGAAGCTCGGCTGGGTCCCTGAGACTGTGTGATCGGGGAATCGGGAAGAACAGTTCTGGAGAAAATAAAGATATTTTTCATCAGTTTTATATGGATAATGACTCCGCGTTAGCATGACTAGTTTAGAACAATTTGTGGAGATTCGGGATCAGGCAGGTGCGCTCTTACATGTATTCACTTTGAGGCTGATTATTCGGCTCATCGCCAGTCTCTAGAGAAGAGTCACACATTCAGGATTGTGTTCACTCACAAAGAGCTTACATTGAACCAATATTCCGTTAAGAAAGTGCAAGCTACTCAGAATTACGATACAAAAAGGAGTCATTTGATTTCTGACCATGATGACTGACATGAATGTTGATTCCCTCCTCACCGTTTTGATTCACATAACTGGCTTGACTTCCAGCTAGGGAGACAAAAATAGAAATAGAATAATGCTCCTTAAATTTTACTTGCATAGTACCTTTTATACACAAAGTGTAGCTCAAAGTGCTTCACAGGTCACAATATTAAAAATAATCGCAAAATTTAAAAAATAAAAACACTATACAAAACAAAATTACAATGAAATACTTTAAAAGAACAAGAAAAAGAAAAACTGAAATCAGTTACCTTAAAATACATATATTCAAAAGCTAAACATCTTTGTGTCATATAGGTTTGAATTGTAGTAATGGAGCAATAAACACTGACAGCATTTCATAAGTTGTCAACACTGGTGAGTTTTTATTTTCCATTATATTTGAGATATTAGATTATTATATTGTCTCAAATGCCATGATGACTGTATGCTACTCACTTTCTGAGGGAGGACAGGAGGGCACCTTTGTGACAGTAATAGATGGTGAACCAAGTGAACTGAGGAAAGAGTGTTTATTAATACACTGAAGAACAACACAGTCCGTGTGTATATATCTGTGTTTGTGTGTGAACTCACTTGGATTGTTGGTAAGGTACAATTCTGGTATGGTCCATATGGGGCGCATCTGAATAATAAGAGATGAGACAAGTACTATGTATTTATGTAGATCTTCATATGAATTATGCAGTCAGATACAACAATTTGTGAGTTTTGTTGTGTGTTAGCAGAGGAAAATATATTTACATGTCGACACGGGATGCCGATCCACAAAAACTGATCTGTTTGAAGAGAGACAATGTTGAGCCAACACACATATAAAACAATATCGTCACCTTGGAATTATAAGGTTCTATCTGCATTCTGAGCAGTTTCGAGATATTGAGCTTCAAAGTTTTTGCATTCCATATAATGATGTGGGATATGGGGAACAAGTCTCTTTTATAGGCTACATCAGTCCCAAAATGTACACAACTTAAAAAAACATCACATAATGTAAAGTTGTCACAGAATAAGAATATGTGAATGACTCAATTTTGACAAAAATGGCAGATAGAACCTTTTAATTAAGGTGACAATATGTTTATATATA